GAGCAGGCAATTAGTAGTCTGCTCAGCGTATCTACCATATGACTCGGAAGAAGCTCCACCTCCCAGGGAGCTAGCTGAGTTGATAGAGCACTGTCGGAGTGAAAGGCTCCCTCTTGTGGTTGGCTGTGATGCAAATGCACATCACGTTGTGTGGGGCAGCACGGACACGAACTCGAGGGGCGAACACATTCTGGAGTACTTGCAGACAACTGATTTGAATGTTTTAAATCAGGGAGAAACCCCCACCTTCGTTACGTCGCGGAGGCAGGAGGTCATTGATCTAACGTTGGGCTCTTTCTCTATAGCTCACATGATCTCAAACTGGAGAGTGTCTGATGAACCGTCTCTTTCGGATCACAGGCACATTCTTTTCCAACTAAACCTGTCATTCAATGGTGGGCCCTGTAGGTTTCGGAATCCCCGAACCACCAACTGGGACTGCTATGTTGAAAAACTGACAGAACGGTTGGATAAACCACCTTTGCTCTGCCGGAAAGCAGGGCAGGTGGAAGAGGCGGCGGCAATGATAAGCGACGCTATAACGGCGTCGTTTGAAGACAGCTGCAAGCTGCGAACTGTTCGGGGAATGAAGAGAACACCTTGGTGGAACTCGGACCTTGAAAAAGTTCGTAAAGAGGTTCGAAGGCTCTTTAACAGGGCCATGCGTACTAAGTTACCTGCGGACTGGGAGGATCACAAACTCGCACAGCGCAGGTATAAAGACCACATTCGACGGTCTAAACGGGGATCGTGGAGGACTTTCTGTGGCAACATGGAAGGGCTTCCCGAAGTTCAAAAACTTCGTAAGATCCTTTTGAAAGATCCAGGGCAAAAAGTGGGGACGCTGAGGCTTCCATGCGGCAGATTTACATCTAACGCGGGTGAGGCCCTCACATGTCTCCTGGAAACACACTTTCCAGGCTCTGGAGACTATGTAACTTCGGAACCGCCAGAAGGTGCTACCCGGGTCGGTGCAAGGCCGATCGACTGGAGAGTAGCTGCCGGGGTTGTTACCGAGGGATCCTTGAGATGGGCTATCAATACGTTTAGCCCATTTAAGAGCGCAGGACCTGATGGGATATTTCCGGCTCTTTTGCAAAAGGGCCTGGAACCATTACTTCTGCACTTGTTGCACCTCTTTAGGGCCTCTGTGGCTTTGGGGTACATCCCCATAAGCTGGAGAAGGGTCAGAGTTGTGTATTTACCTAAGCCGGGTCGTACTAAGTACGACACAGCAAAGGATTATAGGCCCATCAGTCTATCATCGTTTCTTTTAAAAGCGGTAGAAAAGCTGGTGGATGCATACATAAGAAACGGGGCGCTGGTCCTTAGACCACTACACCCGTTTCAACACGCTTACAGAGCTGGCATGTCCACGGAGACGGCTCTTCACAGTCTCGTGTGTAGACTGGAGAGGGGAATGTCTGCTGGAGGGGTAGCTCTGGGAGCCTTTTTGGACATCGAAGGTGCGTTTAACAACACCACGTTCGATTCCATTAGTGAGGCTGCTGAAAGCTTTGGCATTGACGGGTCAATCGTAAGATGGATCCGGGCCATGCTTGGAGGTAGGGTCATCATAACCTCGATCGGAACTACGGAGATGAGCTCATCGGTCACTAGAGGATGTCCGCAGGGTGGAGTACTGTCTCCACTACTGTGGTGCCTGGTGATAGACGGGCTCCTTCGTACACTAAACGAGGATGGAGCGTATACACAGGGATACGCAGACGACCTCGCAATTGTCATTGTGGGGAAGTTTCCGAGCACCGTAAAAGAGCTCATGCAGAGGACTCTTGGACAGGTGGATAGATGGTGCAGTAGCCACGGTCTCTCTGTCAACCCGGAAAAGACCGAAATTGTTCCATTTACGAGGAGACGGAATGTGGACCTTGACGGTCTCATCCTTCGAGGACGCCAATTGTGTCTGACCAGGTCAGTTAAATATTTGGGGGTCACTATAGACTCCCGTCTGTCCTGGAAAGGGCACATTGAGCGAATTAGCAAGAAGGCCACTGCATGTCTATGGGCATGCAGGAGAGCTTTCGGCTGCACATGGGGATTAAATCCTCGACTAGTATATTGGCTTTACACTTCGGTGATAAGGCCGATAATATTGTACGGCGCACTTGTATGGTGGCCTGCAACGCGCAGGGTAACATACAAGAAGCAGCTGAGTAAGGTACAGCGACTCGCTTGTTTGGGAATCACTGGAGCCATGAAAACCACGCCAACGTTGGCTGTGGAGGCTCTTCTGGGACTTGAACCTCTACACTTATCGGTAGAGGCCGAGGCCCGGAGGGCTTCCATAAGACTAAATGATTGGGGTGAGTGGAAGGATAGAGGCAGTCTCGGACACGGGCGGATCTGGGAGGAAACTCTTAGGTCCGACCCCTTCCTCGCAAGAAGGGACGTGATTCGAGCTACCCTACTTGAACCGAAGAGGTATAAAGTCATTCTCCCGAACAGGGAGCAGTGGCTGAACCCAGATCGTCCGTTCCTCAAACCTGAGGGGCTCGTGTGGTTTACCGATGGGTCCCTAACGGAAAAGGGAACGGGCATGGGTATACACGGTGACCGGCCGAGAGTAGGCATCAGCCTCTCCCTTGGCCAGCACAGTACTGTGTTTCAGGCAGAGGTGCTAGCCATCACGACCTGTGCGCAAGAAAACCTCCGTAGAGGTTATCGTAACCAGCATATATACATATGTAGTGATAGTCAGGCGGCGTTAAAGGCTCTGTCAGCTGACAGGGTCCGCTCGAATACGATGCTTGACTGTAGGCGAACCCTAGATAGATTAGGTGAGTCTAATAGGGTAAGCTTGATATGGGTGCCGGGGCACTCTGGAATAGGGGGCAACGAAAGGGCGGACGAGTTGGCTCGCGAAGGCAGTAGTGGGGTCCTTGTCGGGCCTGAGCCCACCCTTGGAATTGCTCCCTCAGTTGTCAGGGTCAGGATTAAGAACTGGGCGACCAGTCAATTCCAGGCTCAATGGCAACAGGCAGCTGGACTCAGACAGTCCAAGACCTTTTTAACAGGGCCTCTTGGCAAATCTGAGTCTTCTAAGCTTCTAAACCTAAACAGAAGTCAGATTAGGAAGATCGTCGGTGTCTTCACGGGACACTGGATGGTCAACTATCACCTGCACAATATTGGGCTTGTGGAAGACCCTGCGTGCAGGTTTTGTGGTGAGGTAGAGGAAACTACCGAGCATGTAGTCTGTTACTGTGACGCTCTGATCAGGGACAGACATAAACTCCTCGGTGACAGTTACTTGGAACCGAGGGAGGTGAGGAAACTAAGGCTAAATAGGGTCTTATCCTTCATTGAAGGGAACGGGCTCTAAGCTTTGGTTGTTTAGAGAGGGGGTTAGCACAATGGGCCGTTGATGAGCCTAAGTGCTGCCTGTAAAGGCTCCCCTGATAGAATAGAATAGAATAGAATAGGATATTTAGATTGTTATTAATGTAATTATAATAATTTTTTTCAACAATTTTCTTGTATTTTTGTATAAGAGGGGAGAAAAAAAATATCTCTCAAATAAACGTAATGGAAAGGTACATTGCGATTAAAAAAAATTCAATTGTTTTTCGTTGCTCATTTGTTTTCTGAAATATTAACTGAATGCAGCCTTATTAATGGCCGTTTGCACCGACAAATTTAAGTGGAGGTTAGCTTAAGCGCAACTTAAAATCCATGGCAACCATTGTCTCAATAATCGTTGCCATGGATTTTAAGCTAAGCTCCACTTAAATTTGTCGGTGCAAACGGCCATAACGGAAATAGGTAAAATGTTAAACAATTTTCATATAGAAAAATGTTGTATACAGCCGATATTTACCGAGATATATATTATATTCCATACATAATGGGCATGGGCATTGGGCACCCTATATAAAATCCAATAAAGTTAATCAAGAGCAGATATGTTAGTCATAAACAAATTCGGTCATGGAAATTCAAACGTAAACATTAATTTGTATAAACAGCTGATAATGATTAAATGAGTATGACCTATGATAGAAAGCGTATACTTGATTGGAATATCATTTACTCGTGAATATGTATAATCATTGAATAAAAACACTATTTTATTCAATGGTATAATGGAATCATTATTACGATTACGATTAAAAGTATAGATACCTCCTTCACATAGGATCTAAGCTTGGCAAGTGGCATGAATAAAATCAAGGAACCAACTGATCAATTTCTGTTAAATTTAGTAGTAGATAGTTTTAAGTTAAAGTATCAGACGGTGGCCAAAGTTTTTTATTAAGGTAACTTTGACTGTGAATTGTAAAAAGACAAATTCCTTTCAGAACAGTCAAATTAGAAGAATTTGTTCAATTCATACAAAGTTGGATAGTTAATGTACACCCTCCTATTTTTCCATAGATAGCACGTCGATGTGTTTGTTCTTATAAACAGCCAAAAAAACTTATGTAATTATGCATCAATTCCTTGGTATGCAAATTGCAATTGTAGAATTCCAATTCCATGAAATGCTCCCTTTTTTGATTGTTTTATGAAAATATGTTCTGCTCCAGTCATTTTTCACCTTACCTACTCATGTAAAGTAACACAGATTTCCTCTTCCGCAGAGGATATTGAGTATTAGGCATACTTCATTTTGATTAGGCAGGTATTACTGATTTGCTAAGTAGTTACCTACAAAAAAGAAAGTCACCATGCATGATGAAAGGAGATGCTATAACCATAATTCTTAGTTTCATAACTATGCGTATCTAATGCTCTTTAATTTATTGTTTATAGGCCTAAATTAACACTTCTCTTTCACAAAATAAAAATCGCACTTTTTGTACTTTAGGGCGGTTTTAGAGAAATTTCGTGCAATGGGTGTCGCCCAAATGCATTTCTTATACCTATAGTTAAATGGTCAGCCTCGACTGGAAGCGCGGCAGGTAGGTAGTAAAGGTAAATGACTATAACGTTGTGAACAAAAATTAAATGGGATATACATATTCTAGCAATCTCTTTATTCGAATGTTGTTGGCAGTTTGTGTGAAGGTGGACATTCGGTGCACATATCGGTAAACAAGTGTTAGCGCTATTTTCACATGATGTGGGTGTGTTTCGAATATTAATTATTAAATATCGTATTATTTACATTTTGTTGCCGGTAAAAAAAGTGCCATTCTTAGGATTTGCAATTTTTAAATTTAAAGGTATGTTACCTCCGGTTTGCAAATGTAAACATAAACATGATCTCTGAGGGCGACCGCAATTATTTTTTGAATTGGATATCGAAGAAATTCGCTTACTCTCCAATGACCCACATACAATTTACCTTCGTACCTACACAGTACAAGTAAAATTTCTTTTCCGTGGCACACCTTAACTTTAATACCTTCGCAATTTTACATTCAAAAGTCCAAAATGGCGTTATTAATTTAAAGGTGAATGACAATGAATGATGCATCTAATTAATTCGAAACTTTCACAAAATTTTGAGATATAAAAAACGAAAAAGTGGGGAACGTTCCTTCTATAACGTGAAGGTTGGTCATGATGATTACTTAATTACTTGAGTAGGTAATGACTCAAAATAACATTTTAAAAATAGTTGTTTTGTTAATAACCCATAAAGTGTTCACCGTGAATTTAAATAATTATTGCAAAATGTCTGCATTGTTTTACTCCGAGTAACGCCTAATTTAAGGAAACATGGGGTAAAAGAGCTTCAGACGACCTTTCATGAACTTTCGACATTTTTAGTTATTTGCCTAACATACGTATAAGGTACATTTATTATTTACCCCGAATACGGGACACCTATTTACACGCAACCAGTTTATTAACCCCCCGAAAAGATCAATTGAACTTAATTCCGCATGACCTCACATGTACGTTCGGGTTTAAATATCATAATGAAATTACTGGTGTATAATATCACTTGTTAGCTACTCATTCAGCTAAGGAAACTGAGATGACGGCATTAGTGAAATTTCTGAAGCGAAACACTGTTAACGATTAAACCGCGCCTATTTCGGTTTTTTCTTAAGCGTTCTTTACGTATCCCACAAATTTTACCTTTCCTTTTAGGTTGTTAACCATTTAAATACCACAATTTGTGCAAAATTCACTGTGGTGAATACAAAAATTTAGTGACAATTTTGTATTTTGAAATTGCTTCTACAATAATATGGTAATAATTTCGTCAGTTACGCTCTACACTTGATTGAGTTGAGAATGCTAAATGGAATAAAATAACATTAAATGCAGGGCAACAAATTACCGACGGAAACCTATTCATTATTTTTGCCTCCCCAACCCCAAAAGTTTATGAAAAACAGTATATGGTGCAAGTGGTACTGTACACTTCCAGTGGTATAACCATTAATTATGAAACTGTGTTTGAAAGTTCAACTTACTACTGCCCGTTTTCACCCCTCATTTGATTCTAATCTCCTTGAAACAAAAGTAACTCTCTCAACTGGAAGACAGAACTCCTTAATTAAACCTTACTGCCTGTATCCTCGACTAGTTTTCCTTCACTCAAACAGTAGTTCAAGAATGACAGCGATAAAGGAGTAGTATATTAGGATATCACCTGAAGGAAATTGTACCCTCAACATTTATAAAGTAAAGGTCGTTATTTGAGAGTCTTTTTCTAATTTTGCAATTTGAAAGAGAAAGGGCATGACTTACAGTTGCTGCTCGTAAAAAATTATCGAAGTCCTCGTGTGAGACCGAAGCGCATTTTTGTGTGGCAAATCAGTATTCTATTAGCTAGTTTTAGCTCCACCATGAGTCAGACCTTGTCGGGGGCTACCACATTCACTTTGTCGGTACCTACTTCCAATGTCAACAACTCGTGTGCGCTATTTCGGTGGATTTCGCTAAAAACTCTCCACAAAACAGTACTCAAACTTTGGGGCACTTGTCATAGCTTCTATTGTTGAAACGAGAGAGAGAGACCGCAACTCGAGCTTTAAGAAACGTTACACCGCGTGACAAAATTCGCAGCGGAAAGTAACCTTTGGGCCCCTCGAAGATGCGTCCCTTGCAAAAGCCGGTTAATTTCGCCCCTAATAGGAAAAAAACACTAAATTCAGTCACGCAGGAGTTGTGCGCGTTTACAAGATCTTGCGGACGACACCGGTTAGAAAACAATCGGACTTAGGGTGGAATTCATAGATATTACTTAAGTTACACTTACACTTTACTCATACTTAGCGCGTACTTAGTGGTATTCAAAGATATAGTTACGGTGACGCATGACATTATTGCTATAGTAACGCGCGAAATTCTGACAGATACTAGCAGTAAATATAAGTTCCACTTAAACTAAACTAAGTGTGCTCTTAGTAAAGTGTAAGTCTAACTTAAGTAATGTCTATGAATTCCACCCTTAAACTGTAGAAGAAGATAGCAAAGAACTCAAAAATCACCACGTTCGTAAACCACGCTCAGTGATGGCGCCCAAATGTCGCCGACCCCACATCATCTAGCTCCGTCCCTAAAGTAGTACAGTAGCAGTACACGGATTGGTCTTTATTTGATGCCAGCCAGCCAGTCGAGATTTAAAGCTACCTTTTTACAAAAAAAATTGCAAAAATCCGCTAAAAACTACAGTATAGGTAATAGCATGATTAACCAAAAACCAAAGATAGATTTAGAAATTAAACAGAGATCAAGGGGAACGCATAACTAAGTAAGCACGGAGTAGAATAAATTATCAATATGTTGATAGACCCAAGGATAGACCATTTAGACTAGCAGAGGTACGAGTATATATGGAAAAATGTTAGTGTGTCTGTCAGTCACTTTGTGAAAATATTAAAAATAGTTTGCGTATCAACAAATGACAGGGAAGCTATTTTGACACTCGAAAAACCCCAACATGAAGAATGCAGAGGTGGGGCCGCTCGAAGGTGATTATAATTAGCCGCTATTTATTCACTCCGCCATAGTTGCAATACAAAATGCAATAAAAAGTCTTCCATTTGATGTAGAAACTACGTAGATGCCCGTGTTCGTTTAAGAAATGTTTTTGTTTCCGATTTACCGAACTAGGTTACAGGTACCTACTGGAAAAGCTTTGCCCCCCGGTCTTATATCTAACAACGCTTGATCAAGTCGAAAAAAAGAAATGCAATAGGACTTTTTAGGGTTTGAGTGTGTAGCTCAGGATTGAGGATATCCACACTAAAAAGCCCTATCGTCCGTTGTTGGACGGTCCTCCATTGATTAGTCGCCTCTTACGACATGCAGTGTCTCTGCAGTAGGGCTATTCTTTCCCGACCCTACACGGGTAAATGACACACGGACAAATAAATAAATGGCAAAAAAGAAAATCTAAAGCGAAAAAACATTTCAGATCAACAGCAGTTTCCCAGTACACAGTACGTTGAGGAGTGTACAAGTGTTCACAATATTTACTTTTCTAATTTGAGAAAATTTGCTAATAATTTCAAATTTGCGCAATCGCGATTTTGATTAAATGTATGTTCGTAGTAATGTGTCTATAGAATATATGTCAACTAGGTATAATATAGTAACTGGCAAGTACTGTAGAACTGGCTACAATACGGAATGTATGGTATAGTGAATTCAACTTTGCTAACTCGAAAGTCCAAAGCCCCGCGGTTAACTTTTGGCGGCCGAAAAATCTCCAAATGTTGGCAGTTGTTTCAGTTTTTCACGTATAACTAAAAACGGTCTATCTCCCTGAAAATTTTAATTATTACTAAATTGTAGAATTAAATTTGTTAAATTTTACACACCACAAAGGTAAATTTCGACTAGAAAATAAAGCCAAAACAGGCAATTTGTTCTAACTTTGTCGGAAATGGCAAAATAAAGATTTTAAAACGTCCGTATTCGTATATCGTAAAGTATACCTATTCACTCAAATGAAGAAATCCATAGAATAAAAATTGTAGAGAATATGCATTTCTAAATCCAGGAAGGATAATATTTTCCTAAACTATAAAACTGCCTCTGGTAACCTCTTAAATTACACGAACTTTGGTAAAAAGTCGTTTTTGGTATTATATGGCTAAAGCTAGGTATACCCTGTTTGAATTTCATGCAATTCGGTTCATAACTAACGCTGTCTAAAGGGCGTTCCTTATTTGTTGGTCTACATTGGCAATTCACTAACTCCGATCTACAAATTTAATATAGAATCCACCCGTCAAATTTCATCGTAACCGGTCCATCCGTTCTCTTTTAAATCGATGGACGTGAAGCCATCGAGCGAGCAAGCGACCGGACGGATCGAATCTTGCTTAACAAGTCGACTCTAAAAACAAACAAACAAATTCTTTTTCTACAACTACCACCGAACACAATGAGCAGTTTCCTTCTTGTTTTGTAAAAACTAAAAAAGGTCAACCTCGGCCCCAAAAAAATCCACACTGTAATGTGGTATGATTTATATACAGGGTGTTCATTTGAAAACTTCCCACCACGGATTAAAGGAAAAAACGCCGAGACACGTCAAACGATTTGTCAAGGGGGACAACTTTTTAACCAAAACTACTCCACTCCCTTTCACCCTCTGCCCCTCAGTGTCATTCTAATTTTCTCGAAAACGAATCGACCGATTTTAAAAAATCAAACGTCAAATAAAGGACTTCGAAAGATCTTTCAAACAAGTTATTATTCGATACTACTTGTCATTTACAATTTTTGAGGGAATGACTCTGGGGCAGAGGGTGAAAAGGGGTGAAGTATCAGTTAACGTTATCGTCCAAACGTATCCAAAGGTAGTAAAATTATTAATTGGGCCACACAAAGTTATTCGTTGTTAAAGAAAAGAGCAAATTTAAAGCATTTTAGGAAAGGATAAATAACATGATTATGTAGATTTTCGTTAAAACAAAAACACAATGTGTAAAAAGCTAAAATCTTTTTAATTTGTTATAAAATGTGTTGTTACTTGGAAATGCAGGGAACCTCTTACTTATTGTCGTACAATGATTCTACCATTTCAATCATTGTTTATTTGTCAATGTTCGTCCAGAGAAATTGACTTCAGAAAAAGTAAAATTTTGGTCGTCTGGAACATTCGCTTCCAAAGAAACGACCATCTTCGGTTCACAAATGAAAACGAAAGAATGCAATTCAATAAACAACCTGGTAAACAACCAAAGGCGTTCTATGACTTTTAACCGTTTTGCTCAACCAAGTTCGTAAAGTAACAACGATTTTAAACTAA